GGAGGAGGAGAAGCGGGGGCAGTGGAGAAGGATGAGCAAGGGAGGAGGAGAAACGATTGTGGGGTTGAGGCAGGGGGGGGGGGGGGGGGGTGGGGGATGAGAGGTAGCGGAGGAAAAGGATACATCCGAATAAGGACCATTGAGGGAATAAGTTGACACCCGAAGCCCTTGGACGCTTCCATATCAGCCTATGGGTGCCACCAGATGCCCTCTGGCGATACCAGAAGCCCTTGGATGCTTTCAAAGCAGCCCATGGAAATCTATAGGAGTCCAGGGAAAACAATACGAGACATCAATATGTTATATAATGTCCCTGGCCACCTGGCACCAGCCTTGCCCTTCGCTTTGGCGACGGCCTTCTTCGCCCTCTTCAAGTTGCTCTCCTTAGGTTTCCCGATGCCCCATCAGATTTCACAGCGAATACACCTGTCCAGAAATCGCAGGCCCTCAAAAGGCCTAGCGTGTTGCACCCAGGGCACAGTCGGGATCCAAGGTATCACATTTGAGTCGAACCCAGGGGTTGGATTTGGTTTGGGGGAGGGCATGCAGCATAGCATTAACAGCGAAGTATCCTTCTTGACGCCAGCAGCTCGTTTCGCGCTGGCAGCTTTTGGAGCCATTGCCCAAGCAAATGCCTCGGGTCAGCCTGGAATCCTGGAAGGCAATCCAGAAGCCTTTTCTTGTATAAGCTGACTGAAGACGGCTCGCAAGCGCGATCTCACCATGCGAATTCAAACTACAACGCGTTACAATCTCACTGAACCGCAGAGACATGAACGCATGTGCGGAATTGTATTTCCACATGTATGGGGATATGTGGTGCAAAAACCAATATTCATTCAATTATCGAATCCGGAAATTAGTCAATAATCTTGAAATAATTTTGATTTCGAATAATTAATTTGAAACATGTTCATATAAAACTGAAATACGATTCCTTATATATATATATAAATGGTTGAGCACTGATCTGAATATGATCTGACGACAGGCCATCTTCAGATGACCTGATCTGAAGATGATCTGACGACAGACCATCTTCAGATCAGTGCTCACTCATTTATATTCGAAATTTTTTTGGATATTATTTCATTTTTTTATTAAAACATTTAAGCATAATTATTCCAATTCAAACTTATTTCAGAATTATCGAAAAACTTTAGAGTTATAAACCAAATGCATAATCATTCTAATTTCATCTTAACCTCGCATGCCCTCGAATTGAAAGCCACATTCAAAGTGACATATGTTCAACTGAACGCAAATCATACATGGAACCAGAACGTGCGTTATGCGATAATCCAGATGTCGCGCAAGCTGCAGTGTACATGTGTGATGGGTTGGATAACTAGCATTCGATTCGAATGTGCGCGTGGCATGGTCTGACACATTTCAAATACCTGCAACAATTTTGTCATCAGTAGAATACTCCCACATTGAAATCTGAGCGATGCAACGTAACTTGTCCTAGTAGAGGCGACCAGTTCACGACGACGAAACGATTCTGGACTCGAATGCCCAGAGCTGCATTCCGATTTATCAGCTGCCTGACAACAATTGTCCATCATGCCAGAAAAAAGGATCGCCCCTCAGCGAGCAATCATTCCCTCTCCTCCTCCTCCACATCCTCCTCCTTATCCCCCTCCTCGTCCTCGTCCGCCTCCTCATCCTCCTCTCCCGCCTCCCCTTCCTCCTCCTCCACGTCGTCCTCTCCCTCCTCCTATTCCTATTCCTCGACATTTCCCTCCTCCAGTCGGGTCTCTGGGGAAATAGTGAGGATCACATTGGAAAGAGCTCGGCGAATCGAGATAAGGGTGGAATCTGGGAAGAGAACAACTTAGAGGGGGCAGAAACCAATCCTGACTGCACGCGGGTTGCGATGAACATGAGAAAGGGGAAGAAGCATGAACGAGTGGGCGCCCCGCATCGATCTGGACAAGGAGAATCTGAGAAGCGCAGAAAACGCGAAAGCTGCCAATCCTTTCCACTCCGCAAACAAGCGCAAACTGAATGCCCGAAGTTGCAAACGGACGCCCACTGTGCAAGGCCGTGGGCGCAGCCTGAAATTCTACTTGCTGCACAACCACGACTGACCGCGCATTGTGTGTCGAAAGAAAGATCATGCAAGCGATCTGGCCAAGCTGACGACCGTCGATCGCACCAGGAGGTTCCGGATTATCTGGAATAAACTCGGTTTCAAAAGTGATTTCTGCACATGCTGGATGGGGGCCAACGTGCCCTGAGACCGAAACCTCTTCATTCACTTCGCAGGAAGCATCCCGGCACGTAACTTCACTGCGCCAGCCTTGTCAAGCCCCCGACCCCCCTTGCATGCAGACTTTAAAATCGTCTCGGCAATGTGCGCGTGCTGTGAGCTTTGCCTCGATGTGACCTCCAAAAAAAGCCTGGGCTTCTTGGCGTCGGGGTCCACCGAACAGATGCATGACTTCTGCGACGCGCACGTCACCTTCAGCGTGCCGAGCACAGGGTGGTCCATGGTCCTCAGCCTGTCCCCCCCGTAAGCGTTATTCGGTTTGCGATTCGGGTCACCCTTGAGCCCGTCGGACGCCTTCGTGTCATCCTTGGGCACGTAGCGCGATTTGGACTTCCGCACGTGGTCCTGAAACGCTGGAAGGGGGCAGGGATGGGGTGGGGGTTTCTCTAGGTGTCAGGTGTTCAGCAACAAAATGCATCACCATGGCGACCAACAAATGTTGAAATGTTACGAAACAGCGGCACGGCGAAACACGCGCAGACACACTGTATCATCATTGCAACCCCAAAGCGACCTCCATTCTTTCAAGGCTAACCCAATGGATACGCTCAAATGCGACGACCACTCAGCGGCAATATACAAAAAGCGAACATCATGCATACCCTAATGCATCGCACTTCCTCCTCCCTCTCCTGCCCCTTCTTCCCGTTCCTCGGCGCCAAGGATGGTGTGATTTCCCGTCTGCCCAAATCATATGTTTCTCGACTGTCATCCTCAATGTGCCTCTCTTTTCCCCCCCCTCTCTTCTCTTCTTCCCCCCCCTCTCTTCCCCCCCCCCCCCCCCCCGCCGTCCCCCCCCACCCCCCCCCTTTCTTCTCCTCCCCCCCCCCCCCCCCTCTCTCCCACCCTTCTCCCCCTTCTTCCCCCCCCACCCCCCTCCTCTCCCCCCCCCGCCACCCCCCCTGGCCAAGCGGCCTTTCAGAAATGCTCTATTCTTATCGCCTGGGGCCCACACGAAAACACCGTCGCCGCCCTGGCCCGCTGCATCAAGGCGTTCTCGTCGTCGGATTCGCGGTCGCCTGTCTTCATCCAGCGCATGAGCTCCTGAATGCGATAATTTTGCATGGGCAGTGGGAGAAGGGAGGTGGGGCAGGGCAGGCGCGGCGGGAGTGGTACCCCTGCTCCTTCTGAAGTGCCTCCCTTTGCTCCTGTTGCTGCTGATGCGTCCCTTCACCGCCGCCTCCTTATCCTCGTCGCCCCCTCCTCCTCACCCTCCTTCTCTCCCTCCCCCTCATCATCATCGTCACCATCACCAACCACTTCCTCCCACTCCTCCTCATCCTCCCGCTGGCAGACGCGAAAAAAAAAAAGGTTCGGGGATGGGATAGGCTGACGATGGCGGCGGGGGGGCGATGACAGGAGGCATGGCAGGACGGGGGGAGGGCAGGATGGGGGCGGGGCAGGCGGGAGGAAGAGCAGGAGGGCGGGATATGAAGCGCTGTCGGAATACAATAATTGCGCGCACGAGCAGCTTGCTTTCGAATTGCAGTTGCAGTTGCAGTTGCAGCAGCCGCGCCGCCTTAGTGCGTTTTCAGGTGGTGGGGTAGGGAGTTGTTGTGGGGATTATCATCCTCCTCTTCCTCCTCCTCCTCATCATCTTCCTCCTCCTACTCCTACTCCTCCTCTCTCCTCCCTCCCCCCTCCTCCTCCTTCCTCCTCCTCCTTCCTACTCCTCCCCCGTGGGGGGGCGGGGGGGGGGGGGAGTTGGCGACGCGGGGGAAGTCGGTGGAGGTCAGAGATAATATGTTTGGCTAAAGGCTACCCCAAACAGCCATCCCTGCGATCCAGCAGGCGCAAGCTAGGCGACAGGCTGCTGAGCACAGTTCGCAGGCCACTTCGCGCCAGAAATTTCCCAAGAACTTGCTGAGGCACATGTGAGGAGAGGTTGAAATTCAGGAGGGAAACAATACACCCTGCGAAATGCTTTAGAAATCATGGGTTAAGAAATTCAGTGTCTCAGAACTTGAATAAAAACCCAGAATGTCTATTCAAATATTAGGATTTACTTTGAAACATTAAGAATAATCGAGACTCTGGCCGAAAATTTGGGCTTTCTTAAGCATCGCCCAGGGTGTAGAGGAAAGCTATCTTGGGCCTCCCCCCCCCCTCACCCACCCTTGGCTTTTATCGAGGACGAAGGGGGGGGGGGGGCCCAAGAGAACTGACCTGTACTGTTTTCCTCCTCCCAGAAATCGGCCGCCGCGATGGCCCGTCATCGCGCCCCTGCGAATGAGATCCCATGGATCTGGCAATCTGCTCAGATCTTGCAACCTGCCGCCAACCACTTCGTGAGCGCCAACATCTCGCTCTTGGGGATGTCATCCCTCCTGCGACCAGACGCCTGGCTCTTGCCCTTCTGCTTGTTCTGCTTGACCTTCTGCTTGTTCTGCTTGGGCGAAGCATCGCTCTTGATCGAGTCATTGGAGCCCCTGGCGCGATGCAGGCTGCTGTTCTTCACGACGACGGCAGGGGCCAGCACGCCTTCGGGAAACGGCACACGCGGGTAGAGAACTTCTTCCTGGTCGCCAGGAAGCGCCCCGAACGTAACCTGTGCACCAGTTGCAGTGTTGATGGCCAACGAGCCCCTTCCCCTCGCCCAGACCCCCAGGGGCGCTGGATCCCATGCACCCGACGCGGGGCCCGCCCCCCTCAAGGCCAAGGAGGGGAGGGGGAGGCACATCAACATTACAGAACGGACAACCTCAGTGGGAATTGGCTTGACGACCGGCACCGGCGCGTAGCAGCCGCTGCACTTCTCGGCGGGCGACTTCTGCAAGATCCTCGTGCGCTTCGGGCGGGGCGTCGCGGCCGACTCGCACTCGGGCCGCTTGCCGACGGGCTGTGCGACAAACTGCCCGACGGCCATGGCAGGAGTCGTCGGGGCAACCGTGCCAGGAGTCGTCGGGGCGGACGCCGTCGGAGCAGAACCAGGGATGCCGTGGGCTTCGTCCTCCGCGGTCGTGCTGGCGACCTCCGCGGGCGTCGGCACCTTGTCCTCAGGCTCACATTGCACCTCCTCATTGGCCTCCTGAAGCTCCTCGGGCTCATCGTCTGAAGCCGATTCCTCTTTGACCGACCCGTCTGCCTCTACCTCGCTCAGGGAAAACGTGTGCGACGGCATGCGCTCCGCACCATCCGTGAAACGTCGAGGCATCCGAAACCTGGATGCCCCACCTTCCAGCATGAAACGCTCCCAGGAATCCTCGGGCGCGACCAGGGGCAGAGTGCGGAGAGGGGCTGGGCGAAACCCATTGCGCGGGTCCGACATAGTTCGGGCGGGCAGACGCCCCCCTCGAGAAGTTGGTCTAACCTCAAGACCTTAAGCCAAATTGGCTACACACACGTACAGTTGGCCAAATTGGCTCCTCATCGTCCTCCTCCCCCTCCTCGCCCTCCTCCTCCTCATCGTCCTCCTCCTCCTCCTCCTCCTCCTCCCCCCCCTCCTCCCCTCCGAGGCCATCCCCTCCCCCTCCTCTTCCTCATCCTCCTTGCTCGGAGGCGCATGGGATCGAACCCTGAAGTCACCATGGGGTTGTGAATCTATTGAATCCAACGAGAGGCGAACATTTGAACCACCGTCCACGGAAAAAGATAAACAATGTCATTGTCACCAGGGGAGGGGGGGGGGGGCGGTTGGGGGCAAGAGGGGAAATCCTGGAGGGTGGGTCGTGGATGGGGTAGGGGGGGGGGGGGAGTCCTGGAGGGTGGGCTCTGGACGGTGGACGGTGGTTCAAATATTGGACGGTGGTCTCGGAGGAAGGAGCCGCGCTTGAGGGAGTCGCGGGGGAGGCAGTCGTGGAGGAGGGAGACCTGGAGGGCGGGCCCTGGAGAAGGGAGTCGTGGATGGGGGTGTTGTGCAGGGGAGGGGGTGTCGTGGATGAGAAATCCCATGCCTGTTCTCCCACCGCTTGTTTTCAAATGCTTTCGCCGGGGTCGCCCTGGCGGGCCCAGCCTCAGTTGAACTGCTTCGGCCTCTTCTTGGGCTGCGGGTCCAGCACCCCCGTCGGGGCGTCATTAGCACCATCGTCGTTGGCGAAGAGGCACTCCCATTCCCGCTC